CCCCGGCAAAATAGGTACACAGCTTCGGCTGTGGTTGGGGGAGAAGGGGGAAGGAGGGGGGAAGGCACCAGGCGGTGCCTCAAGCAACAAAAATTCCGCAAACGAAAATGTGGGAACTACAGAGATACAAAAAATAGGCAACACTCTCGGAATGAAAATAGCTCAAAAAATAATGTTTGATTTATGTCGCATCCAGAGAGAATGTTGGCTCGCTCCGAAGATGCATCTAGTCCGAAAGCGAGCAAAAATCAGGTAGAATGTGCACAAAATTTAACAGAAATGTGGTAAACTGAAGCTCAGAGAAACTGACTGTCGAGAGGTGTGCTACAGCGAATGAAGCTGGAACTGAAAATGTCAATTTTTTGAGGAACTGGAAACAGCATGGATGAGGAACACTGAGCTGGTGAAGCACTGTTATCGGCAATAAAGCATCTTGCCTCTACCAGCAACGGAATATGCCTACCGAACTCTGCACTAATACAAATGTGAAGACTTCAAATCTCGCAGAATATGCGAGGAACTTACTATGATCGAGCTCGAACTTCAGGAATTTTTTTATTTTATCATATAGTCCCTTCAGCATGAAGTTACAAAAATGCCGGCACTCCTTCAAAAAAATGTCATGAAAAGCATTTCTTCTCTTTCACGTTATGGTAAATTTACAAGAAATCCGGCCCAATTAATAACCCGGCACAATGCATTAAATAAATCGACAAAAACTCTTTCAGGAAACACGCAACGAAGGAATAATGATATGAAAGACCCCGCAAAAAGCGATAACGCTGATCTGATAAGGAGAAGGGAGAAGGCGGGAAATTGCAGTGGGAAAACGAATGCTTCCGACAGTTTTCGACAAGGCTGGTAGACAACTATTCGTTATCAGTAAAACATTACAATCTGCTTGTTTTAAAACATTTTGCCGAAGTCGAAGCCTTGAGAATAATTCCCAGACTAAAAATCTACCCTGATCCCACTGCTTCGTTTACCCCTTAATTTCAAGCGCAACGTGAGAAAGTATTTGAAAAACGAAGATATTTGGGCTTCTTGAAATCTCTCAGTGTGAGGTACGAATGCACCTGTGCATTACGAAAGCATTCCCCTCTCCCCCATCACCAGTCCAAATTTTTATTAAAAAAAAACCGGAAATAAAGTAATTCACAGCCTCCCAGAACCAAGTTCGTTTTTCATCTAAGCAGCGAATGAACAACAGCAGCTGCATTCAAACTCTTCAGATCTTTGTAAGTCTGTCCGGTACCCACAAAAACAATCGGCTGACCGGTAATGTACGCCATCGAAATCGCTGCGCCAACCTGCAATCACGAGAATAACGTTCCAAAAAGCATCAGCAACAACTATTTTCGCTTATCAGACATATCATCTCTAAAGCCACCATCCTACACCAATAACTTATACAGCCGCACACAGCGCAAAGATTAATATTCGAAACAAGCAGAAATTTAGTAAATCGAGTTTCGCCAAAGCAGCATAAGTCACAGTCTAAGCCCAAATTTGGTGATTCTCTCTTATTTGGCTACCAGCTTTCTTAATTCCATCCCTCTGAATCAAGAGGGCATTCTTTTTAAAACCGTTTTATTTCAATTCCATTGAATCTGATAAACCCATTTCATCTCAGTTTACGCGGGTCCTTCGGGTCATTGCTCTCACCGTATCAGGCCGACCGCCAATTGGGAGCACCGCCCCAATGAGGGATAATCCCCCCGGACTGGCAAATTCAATGGAAGAGATACCCAAATAAATGAAATACCTTATCATCGATTGTGTCGAATTTCGTCAGTACAATGCCATCGATAAGCCGCGCTTCTGCGCCCAAGGCAGCGTGATCGGCCAGTGCCTGATTGAATTTCACCAGCTGGTCAACGGCCTCGTTGCCAACCAGTGCTTCGCCCACAAAAAGCACCAGATCCGGTTCATTGATGCGTATGAGCTAGACAAAACGTACAGAAGCGTTAACTGTCGCGATCTTTTCCATTTGCATCACCCATTGCTCCATCCACCCATTTTCAAAAGAGATATTTCTTTTACAAGCAAAGAGCAGCTACAAAACCGGCATGAAAGCATGAATCCCCAAAGCATATCATGTGAATGCTCACGAAAGCATAATATACCCCATGAATCCCGCAATTTAATTTGTCTAATGTGACAAAAAAATTTGGCTGCTCTTCAAAAATGTGTATTGCTCAACTAACTGATCACACTGTTGTAATCGAAACGAAATGGTAAATCCTGCTTTCGCAATCAATTTTTTTGCCACAAAAAATATTGCTCTTTATCAATTTTAGTGCGCTAAACTACCAAAAATTTTTCAAAAGTATTAAAGAAAATTACCAACAATACAAAGAAATGTTACGCTTTTATTTGCCAGTAATTATGAAAGTTGTTATACGCCAAATGGCAGGACCTCCAGTTAGTTAGTTTTTCCGCCTGTCCGATGTGTGCTACCTCTTCAGAGACCACCCGTGCTGTTTATTTCTCCCTGTGTGCCTCTCACTGACACGCGATATTGTTATCAGCAAAGCGGCTAACACGTCCTGGCTAGCCCGCTCGTTAGCTGAATAGTTTTCTGCGCATATGTTCACGAAGGACTTCAAGCATCATGCGTTCCACTACTCTCTTCATTATTGCCAGAGCCCGCTCTGCTGCTTCCTTCACAAACACTTTTCGCATCAGTGGGTATCCTCGGCAATGTGACGTGAAAAAAAAAAAAAAA